TACGATAAGTGATTTCTTTATAATGGAACAATAAAACAAAGTAATGATGACCAAAATAATACACTGAGAATTGCGTAAGGAAACAGCTACTATTTTGCGATTTTCTTTCTTTTCGATTTTTTTTTAATTAGAATTAATATATTAGGTTTCTCTCCGGTATTGTGGAGGGTTTTGCATACAAAAATTTCACATGGGCATAAATCCGATCCTGTAACAATTCGTAGGCCATACAAACCCTTGTTCTGTGCGAGATCCGAACATCATCAGCATCCTTAGCCCTTCACAAGTTCACTGCAGAACATAGCCCCCCCCCCAAAAGTATGCTACACAGCACCACCTTGAGCTTCGACTTTCTGCATATCTTACCAAGTTCTCACTGCATCTATAATTCGTATAAGAGTACGAGGTTGGCACACGAGAACCGTTCTTCTCCATCGGTTGACGGTTCCTCGAGTTATATGATTCAAAAAAACAATCAAAAATCTTAAAATAAATATGGACAAAACAAAAATAATGCACTTTTATCAAAGAACGCAACCCAAAACTACAAATATTAGTTACCAAGGCAATACAGTACATTCAGTGACAAACACAAAATTTCTAGGAATCAATATTGACTATGACCTATCATGGAAAACACATCTAGGTAATGTCTGCAAAAAAGTTTATCAACCGTCGTTTGCTCTCTACAAACTCTCCAAGATTGTCAACAAAAAAGCCTATCACGGACTTGTTGCACCTATCCTAAGATATGGTGTAATATTTTGGGGCAACTCGGTAAATAAAGAATCTGCATTCAAAGCTCAAAAGAAATGCATCAGAGCAACGTGCCATCTGGATAATACTACAAGCTGTCAACCATACTTTAAACACTAAATCTATTTGTGAAATCAAATCCAAACTTTACAAGACTGCTTTTAAAAGCTACTATAGACAATTAGCGACAAAAAAAGATTAGACACAGAAATACCGTATGGTAATACAGCAATACTCAATAAAATTATTCTTTGTATGGCGTCACTGATTCACAACAAACTGCCAGATGATGTCAGAAAGTTGCCTATCTCACGATTTAAGACTATATTCATTGAAGTAATATGTATTTACGTACTATAACAGCTATTTCAAACAAAAAAAGTGCGCTACTCTGTGTTCGCGCGGTTGGTTTTTTTATCATAGAATAAACATAGGTAGAATGATCCGTCGGTAATAGTAGATTGTATTGTTAAATAGGTAAATTACATCGAGAACAATATTTAAATTTTGTCATTTATTTTATATATTATATTTGCTTATTTAATATAATATTACGTAATATTTTATCACAATTACATTTTAATGATATTATTATCTGTATATTTTAAAAGGAATCTATGTCAAATTTAAAAAACATACTAAATGTATGTTTATCAAAACTTATTAACATAACATTTAAATTACAAATATATTTATTTAAATTAGAATAAGAGTCCTTCATAAATGCTAGGCACGCGAGAGTTAAAAATGGACGAATTTATTCCAGCTTAACTTTAATGTAGAAACCTAAAAATAAAATAAAAGAATAATAAACAGATTTAAACATTAAAAATTTAGCCTAATTATAATAACTTATATATGTTTCTACAAAAAATGTGTATAATAATATATTCGTCCTATACTCAAGTACCCACAGAAATGTCGCATCTGGACATATTAATTTCATAATCTATATTCCATGACACGAGATGGCGTCTTAGAAATAATTTGTTTTATTATTTAATCTATAATACTTTTTTTATTGATTAAGTATCTTATTAACCGATTAAAAGTAATTCCTTGGTTTTTACTGATATTTATATCTCTATGGATAATGTTGCTAACCCGAATTTTAGAAAATTAGTAGATTATGTGCCAGACGTTGGTAGAATGTAAAATGCAAAATTGGTAGATCTACCACCTCAATTTAGAAGATTTTTCAAGATTAAAAATGCATGAACTGCTCTTAAAATATTTATTTTTGAAAACCATACATATTTTTATTGAAAAATTTTAAATGTTCTGCGCTAGGCTGCTCGTTGTTTGCTATGAATCTTTTAGAACGCTACAATCCCTCTGGAGTCTCCGTGCAAATTCTATTTCTCTGGAAGGTTTTCATATTATAAATCAATCTCTCAACGTTGGCGCTACTATGTGGTAGTGTGAGTAATTTTCTCACGAATTCGCATAGCAGGGGAAACATTAGAGACTGGTCTCCTTTTTTAATGGATGAAACATGCTTCCAAATTTCTTCACGTGTAGGATCCACATTTTTTTTCTGTGAAATGAAATGTCGTGTTTCTTAAAAATCTCTACTCTCGTTCCAATTCGTTCATGTTTTCTGAGCATAGTCCTAAAAATAAAAATGTAATGTAAATAAAAAAAATATTCTAGAGTGGACAACATTAATAATTAATTATGTTTAACTTGCCTGGAAACTGAACTCCTAAATGAGCAATAGTTGTGACTGCATGTTTTTCAATAATATGTTTAGGATTCACAAATTTAAGAATCTTTGCTTTTCATCAAAACAAAAATACTGCTTTATTTGTTTTATACTCTCAATATAAAAGAGAATGCATTTTTATTTAAACTGTACTATTTCCATTTCATTCATTCTAGCGACAAAGTATTGTTTCAATAAATCAATAACAGGGAAATAACATTGCCACCAAGGTATATTTCTTCAATTGGTATATGGTTTTGTTTATTTTCATATTCTAAATTCAAAATTTTGTTCTCTAAATCCAAGTTAAGATCCTTGCTACTGTTTTTTCATCTTCAGTCAGCTGCAATAATTCTGGTTTAATAAAATATTCCAAGATAGTTTTTTATGTCGTAAAAATCCGTTCATATAACAAATAAAGCTTAGGAATTTCTGATTGCATTTCTTTATTAATGTCATAGAAATAGAGCAACACATAATTCAAAAAATTTAAGCATAGCTCTGTTGAAGGATCCATATACTTCACATGGATGGTCTGAGCTGCAAGTAGCCTGTCATTCAAAACAGCATTTTGGAAGTATAACTTTAAAGCTGGAAGCTGTTCTAAAAGCCGTTTGACCACAGGAAGTAGAGACAGCCATCTTGTTTGAGCTGTGTGTAGAAGTTTGTGGGGTTTTAGATCCAGAAAGGACTGGAATTCTTTATAGTCACCCAGACGTTTTGGGCTTCTTTTATAGCCTGGACTCTATGTATGCTGGACCGCTTGACGAATCGTCGCATGGCTCATGGAACACATCGCCACGTCGCTCGTCGATATAAAAATAATTTAAAGTGGTGATATGTCAAACTAATTAATAAAATAGGTAGCTTTTAGGTCTAGGGTGGTAGATAGGTAGACTGAAGTGAAAATTGGTAGATCTACCAAAAAAGTTGGTAGATATGACGTTACTGACCGCAGTTGAGTGGAACAGAGTAGCTGAATGCAGTGTCGCCTCTAGTACGTGGTACTATTATTTATTCTGTGCCTCTAGTACGTAGTACATAATCGCTCAATGACGATATTACACAAATTTCTGAGAAGAGTACCTAGAGGATAAAAGTATTATAATTTAATAGCAATAGTTTTAATTTAATTGTAACTTAATAATAATAATTTGAATTTAATTATAATTGAATAATAGTAATTTGTACATTTACTTAATATATGTGACATATTGTAATAATTTAATAATTTGATAAGATTAGTTTTAGTAGTTTAGTATTATTTAGTAGTTATATTTAAATTATAATTTTAACTTTTAATTTTGTATGACAACATTTTAAATTTGATTGTACGTATTATCAAAAATATTTAATTTTGAGTTTATATAACATCAAGGTATTTAGTATGACAACAATTAGCACTATAGACTCAACTCAACTAATGACAATATTTTTCATATTTTTTTCTCCTTATTATTAATTTTTATTTCAAAGCACCATCATTGGGTGCGTTTGACAGAAAAAAGCGCTAGCAAGCGCTTGTAAGCAAAATGGCGATCGTAAGCGGTAAGTGCTGTCAAATCGTAAGTAGCTATTTTCCTCTAGGACACGAAGTTAGTTTTAACCGGGGAACCTAACCTAATTTAAATATATGTTTGTAAAGTATTCATATTAAAACCTACCAATCATGAATTTTTAATAATATGTATATGTTTATTCATGTCATTATATTACTTAAAACTAATATTGCACAAAACAACTTATAAACTCTACTTCAAAACAAACAAATTAAATAAGCAAAATGGCGGATTGTGTCAGCGCTACTGAAGTTAGCAAACGTGTCCTGGCCGAAAACTGTTTAGTTTCGCCATTTTGCTTACAAGCGCTTGCTAGCGCTTTTTTCTGCCAAACGCACCCATTGAATGCGTAGTCTATATTGTAGAGTATTTGCACACCTCATAAGGTAATGTACATCTTCCAATACAGTGTACATCTTCCAATTTTTTGTAACAACTCTTATACCTGTATTATGCAAATAAACGAATTTGATTTGATTTGATTTGAAAACGTCACCAGAATCAATAAAAAATGTAGTAATTGTTCTAACACTGGCTATAAAATTAAAATTAAATCAAAACGTTACAATTACAGCCTATACGCTTCTTACGGTTCGGTTTTAGGGCAAGGAAGTGTCCGCCGCGCTGCCGCAGTGCGTGTTGACGAACTTCACATGTCTTCGAAAAATTTTTTTTTCTTATTTGTTAGACATACAGATTTCTTCACGATGGTTTCCTTCACCGCCGAGATCGTGCTAAATCAGCTCGATTACTGTGAAATTTACAGCGAACAATTAGCCTCTGAGCTACTCGTACCACGTCTCTAAAATAAAATCAATATCAAATTAAATCTAAACAAATATCCAAAACACTTATAATTATATCAATCAGGTACCTTACACATTAAACCATACACTAAGCCACTCCGTTTATGAGATCCTTCTAGATGCGATTTAGTAAATTGTGAGATTTTTTACAAACGTGGTTTCTTTATCCCTCAGGACACCCACACTTCTTCAATCAACTCTCCTGCGGTCTCGACATCATCTCACTGGCTGGCGAGTGGTTGACTGCCGCTGCCAATACCAATATGTTTACCTATGAGATAGCACCAGTGTTCATTCTCATGGAGAATGTGGTTCTGGAGAAGATGAGGTCGATGATCGGATGGAAGAGCGGTGACTCGATTCTTGCCCCCGGTAAGTTAACATAATGAGAATGATGATGAACACGTGCAGGATCACCCCCGTCACTACATCAGATTTGATAGACCACAAATCCTCGCTAAAGAACACCGATTCCATCCAAGGATGATTCGCGAGGCTATTGAAATCAAAAAACATCCTAATTTCAATGGAGAAGATGGCTGGGTGCTACCATCTGCTTGGGATCCTATAATAAATAAAATTAAATCCCAACCCAAGCATACAACTGCAAGACTTCAAGATACCATAAGTTCATACCGTGTAGATCGGAACAAAAGTTAAATTTTAATCTATGGTAACCGTGGTTAACAATGACATCTGAACGTTGAACATCTAAATCCCCCCCCGTGACCATGGGTGCTGTAAAATGCTTGAAACGTCGGGTATTTCAAAGTTAAATATACGCGATAAAATCCGTAAAAACTAGTATTACTTAAACCCGGTAAGTTTTTTTTTCATAAGTTTTAATAATATGTCTAATTGAATTTTATTTAGTGCTACAAAAGATGGCTTGACTATTATACCACCGGATGGTAAGCAGTATGTAGCCGAGGGTGGTATAGGGCACTAACTTACATCCATTAGAGTCAAAATCAATATGACAGTTAAAGCCCACTGCTAGTAGGCCTCTCTCATAGAGCTATTTTCTACGATGTAAGTGCTGTTTGCCTACAGCCTACAGCTGCGGCTCCTACAACTTCATCTGAATGAGCGACTCATGAGGAGATTTTGCCATACTTGCCACACTTGACAAGCTGGTTGCCAACTTTAGTTTTTTTATTTAATTTGAGTTTTTTAAGTGGATGCTGTGGCACATAGACATCTACATTTATCGTCGGTTAAGAATCAAAACGCAGATGCGTTGTCACCCCTGAGGACTACGATGGAATGTCTCGTTTCCAGTAAAAAAGGGTCTCCGAATCTCTACACTCACCTTACGATACACAGCAGTATTAAGCTACTATTTTACGCTGGTATATTGTGAGAGTACGGTTTTTCCCCGGTCGAGCCGACCCATTCATGCTACAACCATAATATAGATGCATCGTGGCTCTACCACGTAAAAAAAGTTGTTATGAGGAAAATTCTGCCATCACCGGTTTCAATTGACGATATGGTTTAGTGGATATTCTTACACCGTCAGTACACGGTAGACTTAGCGCCACTATACCATGGGCACTGACTTACCTTAAAAGTATATTCAACTTGGCTTGAAGATACGACCGACAGAAGCGTCAAAGGTGTTATATATAATGGTATATTGAACTTTTTATGCTATGTCTGCTATCTTATTTATTTAGAAGTTGCATTGTGTGTGACGATTAAATCATTCAATCATTTATTCACTCATTACACCAATTTGCTTGAGCAGTAAGTAACTTTGTATATTTGGCACCTAGGTGGATCGGTGTCGAACCTGTACGCATTCCTGGCGGCGCGACACCACAAGTTCCCGCAGTACAAGGAGAAGGGGCTGTCCAGCATCCCCGGACAACTCGTCATGTTTACTTCCGACCAGGTTAATTCTTATTAAATAATTTGGAATAATTTCTTATTTGATGTGTTTGAATTTTATATGTCTTAGAAGAATCCTCACTATTTCAACTAAGAAACAGGAACGGAAACTTTTTTATTCAATGTAGATTATAAAAAAATACTTATTGAAAGTCAATTTTTACATTTACCACTGGTTCGCAAAAAAAAACCTCTGTCCTGGAAAGAACCAGCAAGAAACCCAGCGGGAACTTTTTTCTTCAAATAATAGCTTACAATCATGTTTACATTTAGAAACATATTTAATACATCTCTCCTTATAAGTGCTGATGATTTGATAAACATTTTATATATAATATAAATTTGAAGATCATTTTAATATTATTAACCCGCATCTGATCTGAATATTGTTTATGCATAAAATATTAGTTTACCCTAATAAATAAATTACTCACACATTTACATATTATATACGTAAAATGTAACAAAAGAAACAATTATGAACAAGCTCATACGTGATAGAGCCACGTTGCAGCTATATTATGTTTGTAGCACGAATAAGTCGGCTCGAACGAGTAAGGACTACGCTCTCACAGAATACCAGCGTAAAATAATAGTCTAATGCAACTTGTTGTTACAAACTTGTTTCTTATGGTAAATGTATAGAACCGGAGAAACTTCTTACTGGAAACGAGGCATTCCAAGTTTTCAAGGATGTCAAGGCATTTTCATTCTTAATCGAGGTTAGATGTAGGTTTCTATAAGCCACACCATTCACTTACCATGAGATATATAGGATTTCAATTTTTCAGGCTAACGACTTTAACGTTTTTAAAGTATGCTTCTGTCAAATATACGCAATCAGCGCTGCTAGTGGTGTGTAATGAAATTATTTTACGGTATAACAATAATATCTAGATATAGCAATGTCGTGTATAGTTGTTAATATCGCCAAAAATCTCTATTTATTGATTTGGTCAAGTTACTCGTATATCGCCATTTCACGCTATAATCGACTAATTCATGATAATAAAAATACTAAGATCTGACCAATACATGTATAAAAATCTATTTACTCGTATTTAAACTATAAGGATAATAAAAGTATATATATATATATATATATATATATATATATATATATATATATATATATATAAGTTAAAAAAATTAATACGTAATAGATTTTTTATAGATTAGTAATTAAATTTAGAAACACTATACTGTTACTAGAAAGTTACTTTAAAATTTAATAATAACTACTAAATGAAATAACAAAACTAAACAATGACCTTTTTTTAACGAACGCGAATTTTCATATCAATTATGAGGTTAATTAAATAACCATATAAATTTAAGTTATTTATATTATTTCATTTATTAGTAAAATAATAAAATAGAAATTAACATATAAAAGAAGGAAAATGCGTAACCCTCCTCTTTTGAAGTTACGTAAACGGATAAAAATTATATATGTTATATGTGTTATGTGTATAATATAAGTTGCGCCGTGTTCCTGTTCACAAAATTTCATGAAAATCTGCTAAGTAGTTTTTGTTTTTGATGTCGTGAATACATAGACAGACAGACAAAAATTCTAACAACCACTAATTTGCTTCAGTGACCTGGACTAAATAAAGTCCCCTTGACCTTTTTTTCCAAAAATTATTAGAATTGCAGACACAACGTTCCTACAGATATATTACATGAATAGATTGTGTATAGATGTCCATCAGTTATGCTGTGTGCTCGTTAGCCACCCATATATGTGTTTAATAATTTCCAGGCTAAGTTAATAGTAGATTGTCTAGCTTCTTCTTCTATCTACTACACCCATGTCTTAACCGTTTTTAAATAATTAAGTCCAGGTATAATTATGGGTTTGGTTGTAGTGTCACTACTCGGTGAAGTCTTGCGCGTCGGTGGGGGGCTGGGCACGGACTACTGCGTGTGCGTGCCTTCGGACGAGAACGGCCGCATGCTGCCCGCCGAGCTCGAGCGTCTGGTCCGATACCACAAGGATCGTGGCAACGTGAGTAAATTACCTTCTTCAAGGATGTCAAAATATCAAAAGTTACATATATTTTATGTTATGTCATGTTTATAGAGTGCAAGAGAGATAATATATAATATACATATAATACATAACTAAACTCTCAAAATTCTTACTTTACTCGCATGTGGGTGTCCCTTATTGATTAAAAGACGTGGTATACTTGATAGAGCCACGCTATAGTTATAGTTATAGCACGAATGGGTCGGCTCGACCGGGGTAGGGCTTCGCGCTTTTACAGGACACCAGCGTAAAATGTGTGTGTAAAATGTGTTTCGTATGGTGAGTGTAGAGAACCAAGATGCTTTTTACTGGGATCGAGGCATTTTATCTTAGTTCTCAGGGGTGCCAAGGCATCTGCATTTTGATTCTTAATCGAAGAAAAATATCTATGGGTCTTATTCTATAAAAAACAAGGTCTTTCTATCTAACCTGATTACAGAAATTCGATTCAAAAACGCAGTATTACTCGGAATTTCTCTTGTATCTTTGAGGTGGTTTAAACAAGCATGCAGATAATTACCTAAATCATCATCAATTACTTAAATTCTATACTCAAATTCTTGTTGTGTGCTGGCATCGAACTCCTGGCTTGCCAGCTGCCAAATGTTTACGGTTTAGCAATGAATTGCAGCGCTTGGGACCGCTGGTCCGGATCTCGCACAGAAGAAGTCGATCTGTATGTCTACATGTATAACAACCGGACATATAGACCATACGATGTGATAGTCTACTGTATGGAATAATTGTTTGGTATCTGGATTTTGTCGTTGTACAATTTATGTTTGTAAAATGCCTCCACGATACAGGAGGAAATGCTTGTGTAACTAAGTGATATATCTAATATCTAATGACGTATCTAAGGGATGTGGGGTAAGGTTTTAAAAAGAAAAAACACAATAGCCTTGGATTGCAGTGTAGAACGTTTAAGACCAAATTGTTCACCCACAATTGAGATGTTACCTAGGTGGATTGAAAAGTACTCGGCCTAACACAGATCCATTCAATTCTAAAAATCAAATCTACCCACATTATTTAGTTCAGTTCAGACTAGTTCATTGTGTGAAGTTCGAAACGTGTGCGATAATTAGTTGTGATTTTATAAATTTATTAACAAAGTAATCGGACATAATTTTCGCGAATGGAGCAAATCGAGCAGCGTGCCGTCATTAAGTACCTCCATAAGAAGGGGCTATCATCAAAAGCCATCCATGATGACATGGTCAGTACATTAGGCGATTGTGCACTGTCATATTCATCCGTCAAAAAATGGATAGCAGAATTTAAGCGTGGTAGAGAGAGTGTGAAAGATGAACCCCGCTCTGGAAGGCCTTCGACGTCAACTACTGACGAAAATATTAAAAAAGTACTTGATTTAATAATGGGACACCGCAGATTAAAAATTAGAGAGATAGCCGAGATTATAGGCATCTCTTATGAACGAACTCAAAACATCATTGTCAACGAGTTGGGTTTCCACAAGGTGTCTGCGAGGTGGGTTCCGCGACTGCTTTCAGTTGAACAAAACAGGACGCGATTGACTATTTCACGCGACTGTTTGGAGTTATTTGAAGCCGATGCAGATGATTTTTTGAATCGTTTTGTTACTATGGACGAAACATGGGTTCATTACTGTACACCGGATACAAAACAACAATCAAAACAGTGGAGAAGACCTGGTTCACCACCCCCTAAAAAGGCTAAGTCGATTTTGTCGGCAAATAAGGTGATGGCTTCAGTATTCTGGGACTCGAAAGGTGTGATTATGATTGATTATCTTGAAAGGGGTCAGACTATAAACTCTGATTACTACTGCACCTTACTACGTCGTTTACGAGAGGAAATAAAAGAAAAACGTCGAGGAATGCTCAGAAGAAAAGTCCTGTTTCATCAAGATAACGCCCGTGTTCACACGTCAGTACAGTCAATGGCTGAAATTCACAACTGTGGCTTTGAACTGTTACCGCATCCGCCGTATTCACTTGATCTGGCACCATCAGACTTCCTTCTGTTCCCTAACCTAAAAAAGCACTTGGGAGGTCAAAGATTTTCGACAAACGACGAGGTCAAAGCAGCTGTAGACGCATATTTTGACTCTAAGGAAGAATCATTTTTTTTCAACGGTCTAAATGCTTGGAAGGGGAGGTGGCAAAAGTGTATTGAACTTGATGGTGATTATGTAGAAAAATAAAAATATAACTGATTTAGTATGTGTTTATTTTCTTGGTTAGGCCGAGTACTTTTCAATCCACCCTCGTAACAGATCATTACTTTATTTAGCAATATATTTTTTGAACAGGTTCCTTTCTTCGTGAACGCAACCTCGGGCACTACGGTCCTGGGCGCTTTTGACCCGCTCATGGAGATCGCAGACATCTGCCAGAAGTACGACTTGTGGATGCATGTCGATGTAAGTCAAAATGTGGACTTTGTTGTCGACAGCTCAAACACGGGAATTCATAAAAGAAACACCAAATATTCCATATAATCACATCTAAACTTGGGTCTATGCTAGATAAGCAGAGCACGAGCTGAGCACAAGCTGAGCCGCTCTACTCGTAGTGTCAAGTGTAGACGTACAACGAGCCTACAATCAAATCGATGCATGCGATGCAAATTCCTTTGTGTTCGTCAAACAACCGAAAATAGGCGGAGCACAGTCGAGCACGAACTAAACGCTCGAAGCCCGCTCGGTTAGTTTAGCGTAGACCCACCTTTATATTTTCATAAAATAATACAACTTCACAGGGTATACATAATATTATAGCACATAAATTCACAGGTACTTACAGTTTTAAGTTTCAATAACTAAAAAACAACTACTTCTGCGCTTTTTGCTTATAATTTACTTCTTCTAAAACTCGATCCAGAATGCTTTTTCCTTTTGAGTGTTAGCTTCCCTCCCTAAAATCGTGGTAGAGCCACACTGCAGCTATTATGGTTGTATAAATTTTTGTTTATAGCATGAAAGGATCGCCTCGACCGGGGAAGGACCACGCTCTCAGAGAATACCAGCGTAAAATAGCAGCTTAATGCTGCTGTGTTTCGTATGGTGAGTGTAGAGAACCGGAATCCCTTTTTACTGGAATTGAGACATTCTATCTTAGCCATCAAGGGTGACAACGCATCTGCATTTTGATTTTTAAGCGAGGTGTAATGCAGATTTCTATGAGCCACAGCGTCCATTTACCATTAGGTGGACTGTGTGCTCGTTTATCACTCTTATGCAATAAAAAAATCCCTCCACTCGTTTAGTATGCATTGTAATGAAAGACCGAATCTATGACAGAATGATTTAATAATTTTGGGTTGCCATTGTACAAGTACCCGTCATATGTGTACCCGTAATATGCAGAATAAATACAGACTTATTTAGGGTTTCCAGAAAGATGCTAATAGGATTGTCTTTTTTATTTTTAATGACTTTTTTATTATTATAACTGTTGCCATTACAACCTATCAAAACTCCACTGCTGAACAAAACCTTCCCTCATAGATTGCCTCATAGGGGGGATATTCACCACTGTTGCCACGTCTGGCAGGCAACTGCAGTTTTTTTTTATTAGGATGACGCTACTGATCATCTACTGATTTTCATTTCCATCTGTCGCCTCTTACGGCGCCCAAGCTACGCAATAAATATTGTAGTGGAATAGACACACGGACATACTTTCACTCACTCACTTACACCCACTGAATGAATTTTGCAACCCGACTTATAATTACACTTTTTTGTAACCCTTATTGGTTCTGCATCCTCTTTGAATATGGTGATTTGTGAAACAAATGCCTAACTATGTAACTAATCCTCGAGCGGGCTGATGACTTAGAAATCAGGTTATTTATAAAACCAATAATAAGTCTGGTTTTTTCCTTTCCTTCTGTCGCCTCTTACGACACACAAGACACGATACAGGGTGGTGGATACTCTTACACCGCCACTACACATTAAGAAGATGTCGTAAGAGCTGACAGAGAGAAGCAAACCAGGAGATGGGCAGCAGCGTCTTCTTTATAAAAGCAAAAAAACTGCGGTTGAGAACCCGCAAACTATGGCAAACATTCCACTTATGAGACATTATATGGGAGGCTTATGTTCAGTAGTGGAATCTGATGGGCTGTCATGAATGAATGAAATAAGAAGTATAGTCTCTCACGAATGTCAGTCGCTTACTGTTAGATTGTTAGTTACGTATAGTACGTTTCTAGGGCAGGCGGAAAAAAGTACATTGACCTTTGACGATATCATCGGGGTAGGCAATCTTTTTTGTTTAGGTTCATTTTTTATCATTTTATCATTACATACATCATCAGAGTGAAAGATAAGGGTGCCGAGTGCGAAGTTCTTTACAGGCCCTATGTATATTATTATATAATAAAGAAAGAAGATTATCGTGTACCTAAATGAATTAAAAAGCAAATTAATATTGATTTAAGTTTATTATTTATAAATCATGAGTTATTACAATTTTCATTATTACGTTAATAGTAGGTAAGTATTTTAATAAGTAGGTAGGTAGGTAGTTGTATAAAACATAACCACTTCTTGCAAGTCAGGTAAAAAGACGTACTTTTAATGCTAAGCATTCATAAGTAGCCAACCTTGAAGCATGCATAAAACTTCTCATAATAGATTGTCAGAGACACTTGACAGACTATTCATCTGTATCTATTTCAGAATCATTTTATGATGATTAAGACCTAGAAGAGTCCGTCACATTGATTATAACCTTAAATATCAGCAGTCTTCTTTTTCATATCCATTTTGGATGGATATACGTCACTAGACCACGTTTCTTTTACATATTTATAGATGTTTATAATCATTATTTTTTCGGTTTCCGAAATATGCGACACTTTCCGCTTTTTTCGTGGTGACGTAAAGTCTTTATGAGATAATATACAAAACGTCACAAAACAATAACAAAAACTTTAATACAAAACCTAATAATACAACTAACAAAACAAACTTAATAAAGTTAAAATAACTACTATAACAGAAAATTTTAAATCTCAAACTATCTACACGTAAGCGTATCCCAAAGCAGAAAGAGGAATGAGTTCAGCTCCATTCGCTTTCCTAAATACGCACTGCGTGAGACCTATCGCAAATCGTGTCGAAACAGGTTTATTATCTCTGAATGACCGCTTCCTTCACCCTACCCCGTACCATGAGACACGCTTAGCGCATAACGATACGTAATCTATAAAGAAATGTATGGAAGCATTAGCTGTCGTTTTGTTTCGATGCTAACATAATACTTGAAGTCAATGTACTTTTTTCTGCGTGCCCTAGAAACGTACTATAATAGACCCACTCTGCAGCTATATTATGGTTGTAGCATGAATGGGTCGGCTCGACCGAGGAAAGACCACGCTGTCACAGAATACCAGCGTAAAATACTGCCGTGTTTCATATGGTGAAAGTAGAGAAGCGGAGACCCGTTTTACTAGAATCGAGGCATTCAATCTTAGTCCTCAGGGTGACAGCGCATCTGCATTTTGTTTCTTAATCGAGGTTAAATATAGACGTCTATGGAACACATCATCCACTTACCATCAGATGGAACGTGTGCTCGTTTGTCACCCTTATTCTATTTAATAAAAAAATTGCGTGTTTCTCTCATCATACCTTATGTTAGAAACAATTTGAATTGATTTTTTTAACATTTAAATGGTTTTGTTTGCTATTTGTGGTCTATTTAGCCCATTTCCTTTAAATACAAAGAGCTGAACGTTCGGTTTCCTTGCAGGCTGCTTGGGGCGGTGGGTTGCTATTCTCCAAGAAGTACCGTCACCCTCGACTCACTGGCATCGAAAGGTATCACACTAAATCTATACATATGAATAAAATGTGAAAAATAAATGTATAAAATTTATAAATAATATTTAATAAACGGAACAAAGTTTTCTTTATAAAATTAGAGTATACAAGTAACAGTCCACCTGATAGTAAGTGACTTCAGCAGATCATAGACATCAGCATACAAGTCCTATCAAAGGAGGCGAACACGTTGTATAACGAATACGTTGTCACTTGTCACCCCTGAGGACTAAGATGGAACTCCGCACAATTTGTTATTTTTCTTTATACTTTGTAAACCGGAACACTACAGAGGTGGCGATATTGCTGTTTTAACAGAAAAAGGTAGAGAAAGCGAGCATCTAGAAAAAAAAGGTCATTTTATATATTTTTACAGACAACAACAAACAGTAGGTATATATTAATACGAGAACATCAAATGTTGAAGAACGAATAAAATTGATATCATTCGAAAGGTACTGTGCCATAACACAGAATAAATAATAGTACTACGTAGCCATAGCAAAAATAAAAATCATGACTGTAAGTTATCATTAAGGCTTGTAAAATAAAGTGAAAGCAATTCGATCACGTTCGTGGCTGTACGAGTTAAAATTCCTTTGCCTTTCCTGAGCTGTAAAATGTCACCAAAAAAGTTTACCAAACAAATTGGCTTGGAGTGTACAAACAAACTCTGTATAAAAGTGTCCGTATAAATTTTAAAGAACTTTTTATAATTTTTTATTGGACAGACTTTCACTATAATTATTTTTACAATAATTGTGGAGAAAATTTTTATTGTTTTATTATTATTTTTTTTTGTTTTCAAATATGTTGAGGCATTTTGAAAATAAAAATTTTGAAAATAATAATAATTTTATTGTTTTCACATTTTTTACTCTTAAAATGACTCTCAACGTGTTTTACGCCAATTTTTAATATCTTAATAAATCTGAAATACTAACTACCCGTGTGGTTAAAGAATGGGATTGAAAATTGCGGCGCCTCTATTCACCACTCACTCGCACACTGTCGCTATCTATACTCACATCCGCCGGTAAAGACTGCAGAAAAAATAAGTTGCGATATGCGTTATTTCTACGTTCTATAACTTCAGTCCAATATTTGTTATTGGAATGAATAATAAAAATGCCATAAACCACAAAAAAAAATCAGTCGCTTTGCTTATTTGTGAGTTACGATGCGTTCTGAGTTTTCTTTATAATTTAATGATATTTAAATTTATTTTTGCCATTGAGTAATAACTAACCATTTTTTATTTTTGGAGTGATCTAGACTAAATTTTGAGATTTCATTAAAATAGAAATATTGATACGATAAAATAAATGGATATTATTTTAAATTGACTTTGATAATTATCTTAAGTCTAAATAACGCCACATTATTATAAACTACCCAGGCAAAGCCAGAGCGGGTCGCTAGGTATAAATTTAATTTTAAATTAATGTACCTACATGCACATTTGTACAGTGTACAGTTTCTTTTTTCAAATATTTTCTTCTTAATAGAAAAATTCTAGTCTTCTAAAAATTCTAACTAACCCAATAATATAACGTTATACAATACAATACAATACCTTTATTTCAGGCATCAAGGACTTAAAAATTAAGAACATTGGCCCATAGCAATATATACCTTAACCTAAAATATATATATAAAATATAAATATAACACTATTTAGGGAACTTTTTTCTTTGGCGCGTCCCTGAATCGGCGAAACACTACCCCAGAGGGCCAGAAATCGGGAGCAAGGAATGTCTCTTTGTATTTTACAGGGAATTGGAGTACGTAGGATTTGAAGTTCGTCGTAAAGAGATCGGATCCTCCATGCGGCATCGGCTTCGTTCTTCCACGAAACGCAGGACGTCTTCTCCCGACGTACTTTTGTCCAAACGGGAGATGTAGAGCTGTATGGTAGGCTCCACAATACGCAGAGTTGTGCTTGCGTTTATTTTGGCGGTCCCACGCTGGTTACAGTCTCGACCGACGTCTCTTCTCAACAAGAGTAAACCCGTCATTATCTCTCTTGTTTCGGGTCACCACAGAAACTGATCTTACATGCCCATTATTTTGTTTTCGACCACAAGAGGGTACCGGTTGTGAAGATTTTCGAGCAACATCCGCAAACGTCTTCCCTTGTTGACAGGTTGGCTTCGGCAAAGGAGTACTCAAGGGTTCAGTCAAGGGCTGAGGTGGTGATGCGATAACGACCGAGGTCGCCCTATTTTCACGGTCATCAACCCGCTGACAGACGGTATTGCGTGACGGAGTTACAATCATCGGTGAAATATGACTACTATTACGATTACCGCGTGTCGTATTTACATTCTGCGACGGCGGTGAATTCGCAGATGTTGCAATTATGTTGCGCAACATAGTGACTTCGTTTTTCAGCTCAGTTGCGGTTCGTTCCGATTCTTCAAATTTAAAACGGAGATCGGTAACTTCGGCTTTCAACGTGGTGATGTCTTTCAACAATCTGGTCACGTCTACGTGATCGAACGTTACGGGAGGCAGCTTGTTGAGATCACGCGCGACGAAAGTTGGGATGTCATCAGAATCGGTCTCATTGAACAGCCTGAAGATGTCTTGCAAGTATTTCTTACCGCGTCCATCTCTATGACGTGTTATAAGACGGATTTGGGTCACGGCTGAATCTGCTAACACCTTCTTCACTTGGATGATCTCGTCCTCGGTGAAGCTGGTCATCAGTATCTGCTTCAGGGACACCTGGTCCATGACGTCCAATTTTTGTTGAACAAAGGCCAGGAACTCGTTAACTACGACGGTATCGGAGCGTTTAGGTTGACACGCCATTTCGAATTATTTTCGCGCAGTTGGAATGCTTACGCTACGAAAATATTGTAGGTTCGGCATTAGAGCCGCCACATTACTATGAAGCGACTGCACTGACCGGCAGTAGAAATGGGACTGACTGTTATAACGATATGTCGTTATTAGCGGGTTTTCGCTATTGCTACTATAAATGTTGACGGTACGAGCTCTATGAGTCGCCATATTTAATCCCATTCTTTATCCGTATGAGCTATAAGTTCTGTTCTTATTTCAACCACAAGCAATACCTAGTAACATTACAGAACTTTTTATAAATTTAAAAAATTAGAAATTTAGAAAAATAAATCACTAATGAAATAAATAATGTATGCGAATATTATTAATTGCCTTGCCTTTCAAATCCGTGATATGTACCAAAATACATGTAAATACGCTCAGTGAATTAATCCTCCATTCCCGCCATTAACCGCCATCAATCATGGCAGTCGTGCTAAATGCCGATGCTGTACGAGTTGCCGAGGCGGTGGGGGGATCGGGGAAATCCGTTCATAGCGCTTTGCGCGCCGACCGTAAGACAACCAGTTAGGGTTGCCTAATAATCTAGTCGCATTATCAAAAGTGCAAAAATTACTTTACACTTTTTTTTAGGATTTGGATAAACACTTGCACTAGTTTCACAATATTAATTTCAAATTATTAATAAACTGATCGTAAAACCGACCGATTTCACGTCACGGTATCAACGCAAGTATAATTTGAATATTTTTTACACTCTCGTAAAGTAAAAGTAAAATAAAGTTGCAGCCTATTATATCTCACGGCTGTGCAGAGGCCTCTTCATATTTATAGGGTTACGGGCGATCTGCCCCGGCTTCGACAGTAGCTCCACCTATCAGGTTCAAAAAAATCATCAAATACGGTCCAGCCGTTTAGGAGAAGTTCAGTCACATACACACGGAAGGAAATTTCCTTCACTACTGATATGATGTCACACTGTGATAAATCGGTTCTTAACGTAGCAATTAACAATTCATCGGTACCGACGGGGTTCGTACTCGCATTGCTGTGAAGTTTACAGAATGCACTTAGCCTGCCTGAGCCATCATGGCTCTTACACTCTCGTACCTACACAAATCATTATTTTATACCTCATTTCTGAGAGGCTTATAAATATATTATATCGTTTTGTATGATTAGAGACGATTGTAATTTTAATTTCAAGAGCAATATAAGAAGGATTTTGATTATATATATGATTTTCTTTATTTTTACTTAATTTTAGTAATTTTGTAGGGTTTCTAATTTTAACAATAATTGATAGTAAGTAGTATATAGATATTGGATATAGATTACAAATTTTAAAAAAATATATCTAGGGTGAGGATTAAATACCGCTCAGATATCCCCTAAAGATAGCGGAAGAGTTACCGACGAATATGGAAACGAGCATACAAAGGTACCTACCACCCAAAGTTCTCCTTCTTTTGGGCGCCATCGCAATTGAGTAAAAAGAAAGGGAATTGCCTCAAGATATAATTATGATTGCGTATGTGACAACCCTACGCGTCGGATTAAAAAGCTTTCATCTCTTAGCGCCGAGCCAGGGCAACCTGAAAGTTCGCACGTCACTCCACGTCATGGGAACATGACGTCAACCCACATACACAGTTCCGTAGATTTACTGTATAGTGTGTATATGCTGTCGGAAAATTATTTGATATCCCTTACATTACGTAGACTGATATTTTATTTAGATTTTTCGCAAAGAATACTAACAGAAAATAGTATAAACGGATATCTTTTTCTATTGTTAATAAGGCATTCAATGTTAAATCTCAGGGATGACAACGTATTTTCATTTTGATTCTTAATTACAGATAGGTTTGTCTATGGGCCACAAAATCTACTTGTTATCAGGTGGACTGTGTGTTTGTTTGTCATCTTTGTTTCCTATCTAAATCAGGGTCACCTGTTGATATTTAACAGTACCAGCCGACCACGCCCACATTACGTCAAGATGAGATCAGAAGTAAGCCCATTTCAAAATCGGATATGGTGATAATCCTAAAAATCTATCAATTTAGGTTTTGTCCAAAAATTTGTTGACATATAGAATTCAATGACTCAACTTGTTTACTTAGGCGAAAACAAACTATCAAAACGGTAACTTTATAGAGAATTCCGAAAGACATAGAACCGCTTCTGCGGATGTATACCGTACAGTATATCCGTCAATCTAAGCCACCCCTCTATAGCTATAAACTCCAACAATCAATTAAAACTCCCACCCTCTTAACAAAAAACAAAAAAACGTCGACATAGCTTCGCTTCCAGCTTCGTCGCTCGTTTATCATTCGGGTCGTGTATAAAATATAGTACTTATGACACAGAAGTGTAATATGAAACAACCGCGATTTAATACTACTCTGTGGAGTTGATGAAAAGGCTTTTAAATTTTCTTTTTTAAATATTTTATATTTTCAGTTGTTCATGAGCAGCGATCGACACTTACCATCAGATGAGTCGCATGCTCGTTTGCCCCTCTCCTTTAATTACGCTGTTCTCGACTCACACTGATATTGTATTTTTTTTTGTTTTTACTGACTCGTACACGCAATTGCTGATCATGATGTCCCAGGTTCGATTCCAGGTTCGAATCCCCGGTTGGGACTAGAGCGTAGGTAGGGAATAGAGTGTTCACCTACGTTCGCGCACACACTCAGGCATTATAATCATGAGCAGATGGCTAGAATCTGTTTAAACTGGCCGCCATGACTCTTTAGGACATTATTGAAACTTTCTTTCCGGATTGGCTATCGAGCTTTCAAACTTATAATTAGTTTTTCTATACCGTTTCGTTACAGCTATGACGGTTTTATTCAGATGTTTAAGTAACGCTTTACTTTTAACGGGAAACTTAATGGGAAGTCTGCAAGCTTCTTATTGATACTCTGAAAATTTAGACACATGTGGCGGCGTTGTCGTCGCGCCGCAAGCGAAACTCACCGAAGCCTAAATCACGCTATCAACATTCCGAATCATAAACAGTATATATAGAACATCTCCGAACTATCACACGGAGTGTTGGCCGCTCCCCGGGCAGAACACCTTGCCGGGGGGAGATCTCCCCCTTTTCCTTCCACGGCCACAATGGTGACCACCCAACGTGATCTGAACACGCAACCAACAACTTTCGGAAACTTCAAGCTTTATCATCGTCATAGAATACCCCACCCATTCGCTCCCGAGCAGATATCGTCTGCAGTCTTAATATCGTGCAACCCATCTAGCTTCACAAGGTTCATCGCAGCACTGGAATAATAATGCTTCCTGTTCCTTCAAGCTACTCTCTGCGCTATACGGTGTTCGGCACGGCTCTGAGCCTTACTGCTCGCATCTGCTTCACGGCACTCTCGCAGATTACTTGCCCTCTTCTCGACTCACCGCAGACTACAAGGCAATATCCTGGGACTTGCACATTCGTCGACAACGAGACTGCACTATCGACCTCCGGTCTGAGCAGGGGGTGATGTGGCGGCGCTGTCGTCGCGCCGCAAGCGAAACTCACCGAAGCCTAAATCACGCTATCAACATTCCGAATCATAAACAATATATATAGAACATCTCTGAACTATCACATGGAGTGTTCGCCGCTCCCCGGGCAGAACACCTTGCCCGGCGGGAGATCTCCCCTTTTCCTTCTACGGACACAACAAACTTTAACTTTATTATTAATTATAGTTTAAAGATATTTGCTTAGTGGTCCTTTCCTGTCTAAAAAGCAACCAGGGTAGGTAAAGCTAGCACTCTCTCACCTATTTCTTCCGTTAAGCAGTGTGTGTACTGCTGTGTTCTGGTGTGAAGGGTTTAGATATTCCATCTTAGTCCTTAGAGATGACAACGCATCTGTAGTCTTCAATGTCTGTAGTTGGCTGCAGGTATCTAGACTGTAGTAAGCACTTACTAAAAGGTGATCTGTTAGTTAGTTCGTTTGTTGTGTTGTATTTTTCGCCTCATTTCCCCATCCCTTCCTTTCGTTTCCGAATATCATAATATACTGCAATAAGTTCGCCGCGCTGCATCAGTGCTTGTTGGCTAATGTCTCATATCCCCGAAATACCGGCTCCCTCTCGATGTTTTCCTTCAGCGCTAAGCACGTGATAAATATGCAATTAAAATTTCAACTAATACTTTTTTATAGAAAAAGGGCGACCAACGAGCATACCGTCCACCTGATAGTAAGTGAATTCTGTTCCCCATAGACATCACATATCTAAGACTAAGATGGAATGCCTCGTTTCCAGTAAAAAGGGTCTCCAGTTCTCTACATTCACCATGCTATATAGCGGCATTGAGCTGCTATTTTACGCTGGTATTTCGTGAGTGATGTATTTGGTCATTGGAGTAAGCTTGCGTACTGTGAAATTTACAGCGAGCCTTTAGCCTCTTTGTTACGACGGCTATTAGTTGATTTTTTTAAAGTTCTAAGTACTATATTTTGATGCTTTTGTTACATTACGGTGTGATGCACATTCTACCGCAGCGACCCTTAAACAGCGAAGAGCGGGGATTAGTCTAAAACGTATGCACGACTCGGCAACTGTGTCAATAGAAGATAGCTCAGCGATTTACTTTAAAATTCACTTACACTATAAATGCCTGGGGGTGGGCTTTAAAGCGGTTACATTATCAGAATTAATCAGAATTACATATTATAGATTTTACCTTTGTGATACGAAATATTTTTTTATTGGAATATAATATATTATATAAGACAGAAGAGAGAATATTAATTTAGCAGAGTAGAGGCCACCAAACTGCGTACTTATTATGATCTATACTATTTTTATTATTAGTGGATTTAAGTAGGTCGTTTAAATAAATAATAAAAGTGGTCCCAGAACACTTCCTTATGGAACACCAAATTTAACTCTTCTACGACTGGACCTAAAATGTCATAACTAAAATCTAAAACTTCATAACACTGGGACAACCTCAGGTTGGTCCCTAGATTATTTTCCGTTATAATCAATTACAGCCTATAAAAGTCCATTTCTGAACATATTTCCCCTCCAACAGTGTAGAGGCGATGTAAGAATATCCATTACTCCATTTTGTCACGTGGGTGTCGTAAGAGGTGACGGAGGAAAACCAAAATAAGAAATGAGCAGCAGTATCTTCCTAATATCTCCAAATAATTAAAAACCGTGGTTGAAACCCCGCTTGCTAAGACAAGAGAAGGCCAGAAAATATATAAAACGTCTTCTAATATCACTGGATCTGATTGAAATTTATATGGAACTACTAAGTAAGATTGTTCATCACCGTCATTCATCATTCTAATCAGCCTTTCACAAGTCTACTGCTGAATGGTGGATTCGACCAATGGATGCCACAAATCACGAACCTGAGCCTCCATACATATTTTCTACGTATTTCATAAAGTCGAGACAACCTTTTCCGTTACTCTTCAAAAAATAGTTGCAACCGGGGTAACACGAGGAAAGAGGATAGCCATTACACTTTAAATATGAAAAATTTAATGAAAGTAGTTTATAGGGATTTTATTCGCCCGTAGAATGCTTTAGTTGTGATTTTATTTTACTAATTATTGGATCCCAAGCAGATGGTATCACCCAGCTATTTTCTCTACTGAAATTAGGATGTTTTTCATTTTAATAGCCTCGTGATTAATTATTGTTAGGAATCGGTGTTGCGAGGATTTATGGTCTATCAAATTTGGTGTAATGGCGGGGACGATCCTGTTCGTGTTAACAGGTTCGCGATAAAATCCGTATAAACTTTTTTATTCAATGTGTAGTGTTTGCGGAAACATAAGAAATCATTGGTCTGATTTCTGAAACAATCGACGGACAGATTTTTATAATATTTTTATCAATTTTTAATCAATCAATCGTCGTTGTATTATTATTCGTTCTCAAGATATGCACAGTGAATGTAATCACAACGGTAAACACATATATGTACAAACATACAAAGAAATCTATCCAACATAGCGTTTATTTTTAGAGACCTTAAACGTGGAGATATATCAAAATTTGGAAAATCAGCCCCATTAGAATATTTTGCTAGTGAGAAGATAAAATGTGAGAAAACCTTATACGTTGTAGAGCCACGCTGCAGCTATATTATGGTTATAGCACGAACAGGTCGGTTTGACCGGGGAAGGATTACGCTCTCACAGACTACCAGCGTAAAATAGCAGTCAAATGTTTCTGTGCTTAGTATGGTGAGTGAAGAGAACCGGGGATCTTTTTACTAGAAACGAGGCATTCCATCTTGGTCCTCGGGAATGATAACGCATTTGCATTTTGTTTTTTAACTGAGGATAGATGTGGATGTCTAAGGGCCACAGAAACCACATACCATTAGGTGGACTGTGGACTGTTTGTCACCCTTATTCTATAAAAAACCTATGTCTTGCATCGGGACAAGAGATTTTATATGTAAATATGTATTGATTTTCTACAGGGCAGACTCGGTGACTTGGAACCCGCACAAGTTGATGGGCACGATACTTCAATGCTCCACCGTTCACTTCAAACATGAGGTAAGTTGTTAGATTGGGCACATCTTAAGACATCATTAGAATTAAATCACTCAGTGTGCGCTGGAAAGGGCTATGCTTGGAATTTCTCTTCGGGATAAAGCCAAACGGATCAGCGAGCAGAAATGACAATGGGCCGGTCATATAACTCGAAGAACCGACTACCCATGAGGAAAAAGTTTCCCGAGTGGCAACCTCGTACCGGCAAGTGCAGTGTTGGCCGATACCTCATTAAATGACACAGACCAGGCCCGGCACAGTACTTTATGGCAATCTATGGGGGTGGCCTATGTTCAGCAGTGGACTTGTGACGGCCAGTAATAGCAGTTATATATAGGCACAACAATAATATATTAAATAAAAAATTAAAAGGCGTACAAACCACACACACACACATATATATGTATATGTATATATATATATATATATATATATATATATATATATATATATATACATCAATAATTACTTACTATGCCGTAATAAAATTTAATTCATCTAAACATGTAGAGGTCCAATTTTGGACACAATACTCTTTTATAAAAAAGGGGTTGCCATATTTTAAACATTTGAAAAGCGGGTTGATGTTGAAAATTGCATTCGCAATTTTTTTCAAAAATAAATCTTCGTAAGATTTAGTAAATATTTATGTAATAATTTCCACCAACTGATTTATGATGTAATAATTAAGAAGCGGAAATATTTTTAAGTAGGTAAGTCTGCTACAGTTAAAAATCTATTCGCATAATAGCAATGCTATTAATAACATTCCTAAAGGCTGCGAATAATAGCTTCTACGTTAAATATGAAATAATAACCTTAACGTAATGTAATAAGAGCTAATCCTACTATCTCAAGAGGGCAAAAACAACCCTGTCATAGACGACATAAGTAACATTTTATATAGTAGCAAATAAGATTAATGATGCATAGGATTTTGGACTCTATTCTTTGGACATAGAGATTAGCATTATTCTCATCAAAAACACGTGGGGCCCAAATTGGCAACATATGTTTGGAAGTGTCGAGAGAGGAATTTAATTAAAAGTGGCGCGTGTCAACGTCAGATGATTTTAGTGGTGTGTCTCAAAGGATGTCGATTTTATAAGAATGAAATAAATCTGATTAAAATATAAATGTCTGAATACTACAAATAATAGGTCAAGAAATTTCCATTCTGTAATACTGGCCATTTCAAATCAAAAGATTTTTTGTTTGACTAAGAATTCTAATTTCAAATTAATTTTATTTTAAAAATATGGAATAATTTTTTCAAAATTAGTCATTTGTTTATTGATTATCGTTATGTTTTCATCGCATTTGAAACATTTTCATCATCGTGGATACGTTAAAAATTCGAGTAGCTTTAGAATATGAGTACCGTCGTGGCAGCAACGCAGCACAAGCGCCACACAACATCAACGACGTTTACGGAGCAAATACTACAAACGGACGTACCACCTGTTATTGGTTAGTTCCTTTTCGTTCCGGAACTTTCAACCTGAAAAATCAACCCCGTCGTCCTCCGAAAACTTTGGTTGACAATGACGAATTAAAGGCTGCTATGGAAACTGATGATACTCAATCTACGGCTCAATTAGCAGCAGCTTTCGACGTAAGTATCAAAACAATGTTGATCCATTTACGTCAAATTGGCAAGGTGCCCAACGAACTCAATGATCGAGACGTGCCTTGCACTGCTCAACAGGCACATAAAGGAAGGAATTTTGTACCACGTTGTTACCTGCGACGAAAAATGGATTCTGTTTGACAATCGCAAGCGCGCAGCAAGTTGGTTAGAGCATCAAGATTACTGTAGATGTGTACTGAGAAAAACTAAACACAATGATGAAGAAGCTCGCACGTTTCTTTTGGTCAATCAATTGTCTCCGCTGCTCCTGTACGGCAACGACCGACTCATACTGCAACTGGTTGGAAGCGCACCGTCATCCGCCGTACTCACCAGACCTTGTGTCTGGAGACTTTTGCTTTTTCCAGAATTAGTATAATTTTTGGCGGGAAAAAAATTCAGTACCCGAGAGGTCAGTTCAAAACGTCTTTGAAGAAAGAATTTGAGGCTTCCCGTCCAGCTGATTCCTTAAAGAAGGGCATCAATAAACTGCCACTGAGTTAGCAATGATGCATCCATTGTATGGGTTTTTTTTTCTTTTGAAAGACCTAATATAATAAAGCTTTTTAAATGGTAATTGTCAATATAAGTACTTTTCGTAATCAGGTTTATTATTTAATACTTAACTTACAATGTAGAGGTGGTATAAGTAAATCTACTACCTATATTAGGCGACAGAGAACCACGGTTACCGAGCGTGGCAACCATGGAAAACGTCGCCCTTGTGATTCAGTCTATGGAGGCATCATATTTTCAGCAGTGAACTTTAGGCTGATACGATAATTTAAAACCTAACATAATTAATTGTTTTCATTAATCATGTAAATTTATATATTATTTCTCGTCGTCGTATTAATCAATCCAATTATTTCCACGGATGTCGTTAGAAGTGACATTGGAAAATTCCAGAGAAATATTAATGACTATCGATAGATAACGATATAACCATCTCCAGACAGACCAGGCGTAAAATAATAAAACAGGAGCGAAGGTGGGCGGCGGTGTTAAAAGTGCTAAACGTCTATTTCTGCGATGTTGAATTTGCGTGACGATTTAAGGCAAATCATCTCTACAGCAGGAGTGGCCATTCATTAACTGATGATAAAGAAGAAGTATTATTTTTAAATATAGCTGTAAGGTGTAAGAAGAATGTACCAATTTATTTTACAAGCTAATCTCACTTGGACACGGTGCATATGTTATTAATAAATCAATGAAGCATTGACGATTTATAATGGTGGTATATATATTTGGCGATTGATGGCGACATGAAGTAGCATTACTAGTGCATATATATCCGGTCTCAGCGTGGTATAAGCGTTCAAATCTTGCATGCCTTCAGTTGTTGCTGGCTGACAAAGCCTATATTAGGGGTGAATACATGGAGGCTAATATGATTAAGAAAAAGAGCTTAATAATTGATGAGAAAATTACATAAACTCTATTCCTTAATTATTGTCAAAATTGGTAACTTAAACTTAAATAACCAATTCTACATAGTATGATTTCATTTATCGACAATGTAAACCACATCACTATCTTTAACTTCAACCAAAGGGCGGAGGCTGAGAAAATTTATTTCTCGGCATATTGAGCTGACATTTACAAGGTACAGTCTTGTCAGAGTAACGTATGCAGTTCCACTGTAAAATTAAAAGTTTTGTAAGAAACAAAGGCGGAAATTGACTACCAATGTTAAAAAGCCACTTGGTGCGGCTAACTTTCAACTTAGTCAAAGTGGTCTATAATTGATATTTTAGATCTGTTATAACTAATGTTTTTGCGGTATTATGAATTATAGTGAGCAAACAAGTTTTTTTTAATTTAAATTAAATAATAAATTCCCTAAACGAAAAATAAAACATAAATCATCAACGGTACAATGAAAACACTGAATAAAAGATATTTTACGAATTATATTTTTTAACAAACTGATGTAGCACAAGTGATAAAATTAATAATTTTGTACAACCGAGTTCCACATAAATACAATCAGAAGATCATCAATGTAGTTGAAATCAATTAAATACGCATTATTAAGAATAACTGAAAAACTACTGTTCAGATCTTGATCAAATGAGACCAACTTTCAAATAAAAAATAGTCATTAAAATCAGTTTACTTAGAAAAAAATCTGAGGTAACACACAAAATACAGTCGAATTGAGAACCTCCTCCTTTTGAAGTCGGTTAAAAAGAACTACCAATCCACCTGATGGTACTCGCAGTTCGTGGTCACATGGTAGCAAACTTCATACAAAGAACGTTCCAGATACATTTTTGTAACAAGAAGTTACAATAGAAACTTAGTTACATAAATAAACAATAAAGCGTCGAATGAAACTGGGTTGGGAACTACATCACCATTTCTTTTCAATATATGTGTTCGAGATAAAAAAAGTTCACTAACAAAGAACTTTCAAAATATCAAAACGATTAGAACAACTTCCAAAAAAGTGGCAGGCTAAGCAAACATCTGCGAGTGGAGATAGGGTCACCCTTTACCAATATGCATAACAATTTGTTTGTCTGTCTGGATGTCGGAGATTGCGAGCCGTAAACACTGAAACGCTAATATGGGTTATTAATATTACACTCACGAGATGTCGTAAGTTTTTTATTTAATATGTAGAATAAGAGTGGCAAACGAGCGTGCAGTCCATCTGATGGTGAGCGAATGTTGTGGCCCATAGACATCTACAATTGTACATTGTACGAGTAGTTGTACATCTATTCGATTAAGAGCCGACCCATTCAGGCTAAAACTGTAATAAAACTGCAGCATGGCATGGCTCTACCATGAAGTGCATATACTCGTATATATATATGAGGCATATGTTCAGCAGTGGACTTGTAAGGGCTGTAATGATGATATATATATATATATATATATCTCAGTCGTCAGGGATGACAACGCATAAGTCTGTAGCGCTGCCCTGGTGTCAGAAAAAGTCGTGGATGCCCATTTAATAGCCTTTACCCAAGAATAGAACATTAAAGACATGGTGAATAATGAGGTATTTAATGCTCCAGGGCATTCTGCTGAGCTGCAACGCGATGTCAGCGGAATACTTGTTCATGACAGACAAGATCTACGACCCTCGGTTCGACACCGGCGACAAAGTGATCCAGTGCGGCCGCCATAACGACATCTTCAAGCTGTGGCTGCAGTGGAGGGGCAAGGTAAGCTGTTTTATTTATATCGTTATTTAATATTTTGCAAAGTAGTATATCTTTTGCTATAGAACATATATGAAAGTTACATATGTACATACAACACGCCTGTTACCCAGAGGGGTAAGTAGAGACTACGGATTTCCATCTGTCACGATCCTGACACACCTCAATAGCTTCTTCCAGATCCATATAATTATGATAATTATGTATGAAAGTGAATACGTTGGTCTTCTAGTCGATTTTGACATTACAGTTGCCGAATAAGGAAGTTTGACATGGTTATATTTAATAAAAATTTTGTCACACATTATATTCAAATTAAATTAATTATATTAAATTATAGAAACAACGATTTTCAAAAACAGAAGAAAGAATAGCAATACAAATATGCAAATTATGGAAATTCTTTTTTACCTAAGTGGGTATATGTATCAACGGTCTTAAATGATGATTACCTATGGAGGGGCTGTTCACTATCTATTTCTTTCCTTGAAGGGTCCAAGTGTTAATTTGGTTTAGGAAAACCAGCCGCGATATAATACAGGTGCGTTATTGTCATCCTTGATTACTATGGACTGCCTCATTAACAGTTGAAAGGGTCTGCGGTTCTCCTTACAAAATTTCTCACGGTTCTCAATACGAAACACACTAGCATTGTAAGTAGATTTTTATGCAAGCGTGCTTCCTCCATCGATCCGACTCATTCCCGCTCCAGATATGATAATAATACTTACACTGCAACGAGGCTCTAACACCACTTCCATTTTTATTTAGTCCTGATTATTTTGAACGCTTTAGGCTCTCTACGCGAGGCAGCCATATTTTCGTAAAAATAGTTGTTCACTACACATTAAAAAAACTTTCTGTAACCTTAACTTGTGTATGCCTGACGTGAAAATAGCTTGACGTGAAAAAAAATTCGTAACTGAATAAATTCTGATAGGTTATCCTCACAATCAGTAGGCATATATATGCATCAGTATGCATATATAAGCTAGTAACGATTAGGACAAATCCAGTGGAACATTACGGGCTGATGATGATGATTTAAAAAAGCGATAACCCTGAGACTTGTATTATCTAGGGACTACTATAAATTAATCTGGTACTGATAAAAGCATTTTTTATAGGATAAGGGTGATAAACAAGCACACAATCCACCTGATGGTAAGTGGATGCTGTGGCCCATAGACATCTACATTTATTGTCGATTTAGAATCACGATACAGATTCGTTGTCACCCCTGAGGACTAAGATGTAATGCCTCATTTCCAGTAAAGAGGGTCTTCGGTTCTCTACACTCACCATACGAAACACAATAGCATTAAGCTGCTATTTTACGATAGTATTCTGTTTGAGCGTGGTCCATTATACAGCTGCAGCGTAGTTCTACCACGTAAATTAAAAGTTATACTGTGTTGGACATAACGTACATCCCGTCTTCTGTTCCCAGGGCACATCGGGCTTCGAACGGCTGATGGACCGGCTGATGGAGCTATCGGAGTACATGGTGCGGCGCATCCGCGAGCAATCGGACAAGTTCCACCTGCTGCTGGAGCCCGAGATGGTGAACGTGTCGTTCTGGTACCTGCCGCTCCAGCTCCGAGGCTTGCCGCACAACCGCGCCAAGGAGATCAAGCTAGGCAAGGTTAGTAGATTTAAACATGTTTATGTGTTATATTCCCGGGTTATTTATTTTATACTTTGGTATTTAAATAACTCCCGATTCCGATTCCGAAGTGGAGCTCCCGCGAGTTTTTGGATTGATTGTTCTTTGTTTAAAAATGTAGAATAGAATAAAAGAGAATCATTTTCATTCATTATAGATTAAGATAATACTTATTGAATTTTATTTAAGATTTACCACCGCTTCGGAAAAAACCTCGCGGAACTTTTTTTAAAAGTCAATTTTAAAATATGAAAGGTTTTACAAACTATTTGAAAAAATTATTTTAGAAACACCTTGGAAGCAACCACCTCATTCCCAGGGGTTATTATCAACCATGTATTCATTTATATTATAATAACCCTTTTTAATTCAGTTTTTGTTTAATAAAATATTTAAACTTGGTAATAGAGAGACCGTGTATATTTTCTGGGACTTGGTTGTAATAGCGTATATATTACCGCAAGGATGAATTACTGACATTGTGGAGTCGAGAAACTGGTATCACTAGCTTGTGTTTGTTCCTAGTGTTTGCAGTGTATATCCTTTTTTTAACTCAAAGTACCGATGTTTTTGTGAATATACATTAAATTTTCGTTAATATACTAAGTAAGACATGCAGAAAGTCGATGAATGCAGGTGTCTCAGGACCGTACTTTGTGACATTCTTTGGGGAGGCCTATGTTTATCAGTGGACTTGTGTGACAGCTGATTGGATGATGATGATGATGAAATATACTGAGAGGCTATAATAAGTAACAATGACAATTCTACAGGTGTGCGCCAAGTTGAAAGGGCGGATGATGCAAGCGGGCACGGTGATGGTGGGCTACCAGCCGGACGACCGGCGGCCCAACTTCTTCCGGAACATCATTTCCTCGGCCGCGGTCACCGAGCGCGACGTCGACTTTTTGCTCGCAGAGATGGACCGCCTAGGACACGATATCGTCGTTGACTAGATGCACTACTAGTGTTAACTATATAATCTGTATTGTGGGTTTTATTTTTAATTTTGTGCGTTTTTATGCATTTAATATAAAATAAACACTGAATTGCACCATTTATGTTTTATAATTAAACAACATAAATTTTTTTAACTCTTACAATCACTTTCACGCACTAACTACACTTTTTCATATATTATTTATTATACCCACACTTTTGTCACATTACTGTGTCTTAAATTTTTTTATTTAAATTTTAATTTAATAATTTATTTCAACTAACTTTAACTATTGTAAGTTAATTTGAACGAGCTAGGGCTCAATTGAAACGTGTACCATTTTTATTTGAGTCTAATAAAGTATTATTATAGAATTGATACACCAGGTATGTTTATGTCTTTGACAAAACTATTACATTCGTTCAAGCTAAACTTGTTTTTTATTTAGTTTTAGACTTTCGTCGTTCACTAAAATTGCCCAATTTATTTTTGATATTCGTGTTTTTTGTGTTCAGATTTTTGATTAATATATTTAAATTACATTAATTTTTATGTTGTATTCCCGAATAAGGATTTTATATCTTTTATATTCTAACGTTGTAATTTACTTGGACTGTCGGTAGAAAGTTGATTGAAAAAGAATATTTTTAAAATCCTTGGCAGTGTTTTCGTAATTGGCTTTAAGTAAAAAGAACGTAGATTTTAGACTTCTTCAGGGATCAATTTCATCCCAAAACCAGAAACTTTGCAATGCCATTTATAGTAAAGTGTAGTTATATTTAAAAAAAAACAAGTGTTACTATAATTTCAACTACATTTAACAGTGGTCGGTTTTTCGCCAAAGAGTAGCCGTCTAATATTCTATAATATAGAATATTATTATAACGTTATATATTACAGTTTGTGTATAAGATTCTCGTATAACGATCTATATTGACTTTGCAAATATATGTATATTTTTTCTCATTTAAAAACGTTATACATTGCTAAGTACTTGCAAATAAATATATATATCTAGGTATACATTGAGAATGTCTATGCCCTATTTCTATGCAAGCTTTGTAAAACGTTCATATAGATATTTAAACTAAAGAAGTGTATTTAGCAATTGTCTAGAAATAAGGATATATTTATATACCCATATAATAACGGCTAAAAATATATTAAAAAGTATTAATATCTGATGTTGGATAGGTACTATCTACCCTAGTTTAAATCGTTATATTACCAAAAATATATATTATTTATTAAATTAGTTAGACCTAAACAACTTAGTTATGAATTATGACGAAACAATAATAGGATCAAAGATATGAAGCATAATCTTTATTTATTTCTGTGATTTGTTACTTTGAAACAAATAATATATGTGTACTAAGTAAATTATCATTAAGATTGAATAATAAGAAATATGAATAAAATGTGCGTCTCTCTGTGTGTGTGTGTGTGTGTGTGTGTGTTGTACCAAAGTTATACCAAAAATTGTACTTTTGGTATAACTTTTAACTACAGTAGGCGGTAGAACACAAAGTAAATTGAAAAGTTACACCATGTTGTAGAAATCTTATTTTACAATGCTGGAAATTGAAAGAAATGAGGCTTGTCACAGGCAGTTTTTATTTCCTACGTCAAAAATAGATTTCACTTGTATAATCAAACGCTGAGAAAACTGAGTTTTGTAACCCTTGTCTGTATCAAACTCGTATTAAGTGCGCTGTCACAAAGACCTGGCTGTATGATCTAAAATACCTTCGCCTATTAAAAATTAAAAACTTCAATTTAAACCAAAAAATAATAACACCCGTATGGACTGTAGTACCTCTATACTCCATGAACACCGGGGAATAAGACGGAAGTGAGGCTCAGAAAGAACCCAGAGCCGTAAAGCCAGCTAATAAATTAAAAAAAGACGGAAGTGAATTACTTTTAAAAATGTTTTTGAAATTATGAAGTGTCCGTTCTATTGCAATAATTGTAATGTAAATTATTTTAAAAAAAACTAGTAATTATTGTAAAGGTTTCATGCGTGTAGATTCATAGGCCATTTTTAAGAATGTCCTTTTTTAAGAATAAGCGCAGTTATTGATACAATGAGATGAAAAACTGGATGTCTTGACATACTCCTTTTCTGTCTTGGAGCTCGTCTGGGTTTGTCTTCTGTCCCTCTTGCCTATTGCTGCCACCAAGCAATAGTGCGTTCATTCATGTGTCCCGGTCTGAAGAGTGTACAGCACTAGTATGATTATGGGCTATAAAGCATTCCATCTTAGTCCTTAGAGGTGACAACTAAACAGTCTATGAATTGTGGTGACAACTAACTATTAGGTGGAGCGTGGTGGTTCGTTTGACACTAGTTTTTTTTTTTTAATCTAACCAATATTTTTATGTATTCAAGATTACTAAATAACACATCACTTTTCAAAATGCCACAAATTTATAATTTTTAGGTATGCCTAAAGATCTTCCATAATTCTTTGAGCATCATGGTAGATCTATAGCTGTAGTTTTACAAGATTGATAATATGCATATATATATATGTGGTAGAGCCATGCTGCAGTTATATTAGATGTATAGTTGTAGCACGAATGGGTCGGCTCGACCGGGGAAGGACCACGCTCTCATAGAATACCAGCGTGAAATAGTAGCTTAATGCTGCTGTGTTTCGTATGGTGAGTGTAGAGAACCGGAGACCCTTTTTACTGGAAACGAGGCATTCCATCTTAGTCCTTACGGGTGACAACGCATCTGCATTTTGATTCGTAATTGAGTATAGATGTAGATGTCTATGGGCCACAGCAACCACTTACCATCAGGTGGACTGTGTGCTCGTTTGTCACCCTATCCTATAAAAAAAAATGCAATTTACAGACTCGGTAGTTTCGATCAGATTCACAAATTTAAATTTTCTATTTAATTACTTTTTTACAATGTCACCTTTTCATTGAACGCTAAGGGAAAATAATAATTACCAATTCTAAAATCACAGATATCGTAATAATAAGACACTATGATTTCTTTGGTTTTGGAAGTAATTGAGCGCTAATTCATTTCTAGGGTCTTACTACGACTTCTGTGTTAAAAATATTGTTTTGTTATATTCATGGTATCTACCGATTAACTTCTTGCTACACTTTTAATGGTCAACTTAAATGGGTAAAATGAGAGAAGTATTTCACTGTAAATATAGTTTACCATTAATTTATTTTATCATTCCGCATGTACCTATATCTATAATATCTCCTATATAACATAAAATGATGTACACAATGTGCAATATACAAAAAGAAATAGAGGCAAAAATGACTGGATTTATGTGTTTATTTATACAAGTCAATATTAAACAGGCCTGTTTCTTCACTTATTTAAAAAAAGTAGTAAGTGCAATGATTAATAAACTATCCTAACTGCTTTTTACCAAAGACCATAGACCACTACCAGAACCAAAGACTTCTATGCACTATGTGTACTACTAGACTAGGAGATTAAGGTACTAATACATTGCGCACTAAGTTATGGTACTAAGTTAAGTTCTCTTTTACGTACCTTCTTTCTTTAGTCGTCTGCAAGCGGGCGGGAAGACTATTATAGTTCTTTTCTTTTGTAAAACGCGAACGTTGTTTTCGACAATCTAACACTGATTTTGTGACTAAGAAAATGCTGTAATACATGTGCACACTTCGTCGACGTGACTTGAAGTTTATTTCAAATCAGTAAAGTATGTTACTTTATTCTGTGTTTGCCTAAAAACGGAATGTGTTGTTAATAAAAACACAGCTGCTTGGTATACAGTGCCAACCCGCTCATGCCTGCGACTTCGCTGACGGTGTCACAGTTTTAAAAGTACATAGAAGTCTTTGATTAAAACAATTTAAAATCAAACATTGTGTCAATTGGCTGGGGCATATCGTTGCACATTGTGGTTTTACTATTCGATTTACAGCCTCTATATATATTGTATATATTGTTGCTTTACCTATATTGTTAACTTATAGATTTGAACAAATATTTTTTTCCAAAAAAAAAAGAGTACTTATTTTGCATGTGACGTATGATGTGACGAAAATATCGTAATAAGAAAACCTGAATATCAAAGGAATGAAATATATCGAAGATATGTGAAACACGCATTGGGTCAGCACGACAAATTGCTTCATTTTTGCCTCTCTGAAAGGTGACCAGCGCCCAGTTGTGGAACGTATAAAACCTGTATCTTTAGGACTTTGCTTTAGGATAAATACTAACATAAGAATCTATGTAAATTTAAAACAAAACGTGACAATGACAATAGAAACTGTAGTCTTAGTGTATGCGAAGTATATCCGTGAGTGTTGTAATTAAAGAGGTATAAGTTGTAACTATACAAAAGAAATGCTATGCAATGTTGTAGTGTAAGTATTTAAAATGCAAAATTATTTATTTTTATTTAATTAATGTTATATTATATAATGTTTCAGTGTTGTTAACATGTTGAAGTATGATGAAATACTTTTCTTGTCACATAATTATTTCATGCCTTTGTCGTAGATAGTTTTAGTATATATAAATATTATAGATAAAAGTGTAGATGTTAAAAATAATTTTGAAATTCGAATGAAACTATCTGTCAAATTATAAACAATAATATGTAAATATGTAGTTTGTTTATTAGTCATTTGCTTGGGTTGTGAATATTATAGTTTGCGTATCGCTACATCTTTATTGCATTTTAAAGATTTTATTAAACTTATAGCGCTTAGCACTGAAAGTTAATAGTGTGTTTAATTATAACGTCGCCATTTATTGTTTTACAACTTCTGTAACTATGTACTATAATAGATGGCGCTGTCAACAACGAACTAAATAATGCTTTTTAGTTAAGTTAACAGTGGGCTTTTACTATGTAATGTGAAATGGTTTTAAATAAAATTATGGGTAATTTAATTTAAAATAATATATTTTTTAAATATATTTTCATTGTCAATATAGGTCAAATATATGCCATAAATAATTGATGTAATCAGTCTTCCAAGATGTCT